GTCTATATGAGTTTTTCTGAAAATATAAATCTAAACACAGAATTGTAGAGCCAAGACAATTTTTAGAACTTAGCAAGTATAAACAATTATAGTTTCTGCTAAACTAAAAATTCATCTTTGGGGGGAAGACAGACACTGGGACTTGAACCTAGGCCCTCAGGCGCTTTTACCACTAAGCCACACCTCCACCCCTCACTACTGCTCTTTATTTTTGAAATAAGGAGCAGGTACATGCCACACATGCACACAGCTTTTCACTGAGAAGGAGTCTGATGGAATTTTTTTCTCCCTAGACAGGCCTTGAACCTCAATCTCAACAATCTCAGCTTCCCACATAGTTAGGATTACAGGTGTGAGCCACCAGCACCACCAGCTTCTTAAAAACCATCCAGATGAACTTAGACAAAACTATTTCTGTACTAATAAACCATTCAACACCTTTCTTAGGATTGATGCAAAATGTTTTTGCTCAGAATAATTTTCAACCAAATTTCAACCAAAACCAGAAGTCCTGAGGACTTTGAAGTATTTAAATCTTGTGAAAGTTTTATATACTTCACTCTTGTTTATATACTTTATATATTATTTACTTTATATCCTTTAGATACTTCTTTATGTACTTCATTCTTTTAAAAAATACCTGCTATTATTGACATAAGAAAATTTCAGTTCTGAGAGATCTGTAAAATTCCTTCTGACTCAAGTAATACAATCACAGCCTTGGGCAACCAGAGTTAATCTTAGATATCCACAGCTCTGAACCTGGTACAACTTCTATATTGAAACCCATTGCCCCTTCAAGTCAACCTCAAGTCCCCCGGTGCCTCTACCTCTCTCTACTTTGCTATTATTTCCAGCATGGAGTCCTCACCTTCTTTTGTCAGGTGTGATAAGACACCAAGGTGAGAAAATGTTGATAGTACATTCAAAAGTCATCCTATCTTCCTGGCCTTTCCTTCCAGTGACAGGTAGAATGTTAGCTTGTTCTCTCACCAGGTACACACAACTCAGCAGTTACTCACACAAACATTAACTTAGATACTGCTGTACCCAGATGTGATTAAGATCTCAACTCTGCTGACTTTAAACAAAGGTGATTATCCAAGTAACCCAAGCAGTAAGCACATAAATCCTTTAAATCTAAATCCTGGGATTCAGAGATGAGAGAAGCAGGAGATAATGCAAAGCTTAAGAAGGATTGGGCAAAAAGGCAAAGATTCTCTGTAACTGGTTGGGAGATGGAAGAGGGCTTCTAATAAGGCATGGATGGGGGCAATAGCTGACTGCCAGCAAGGAAATAGGGACTTCCAGTCCTACCACTCCAAAAGAACCAAGTGCTGAATAAGCCCAAGTACAATCACTCCTCCTGAAGCCTTTAGACAAAAACTTAGCATAGGAAATATTTTGATTTTGGCCTAGGTACAGAGCACAGAACCAACCTAGCCATCTGATTTACAGATATGTGATTCAATAACCATTTGATCTAAGGAAATATGAGCTAATAAACTGATGTTATTTAAGCCACTAAAGCTGTGGTAATTTTGAGAATCAATAATGGATAGCAATTACAATGTACATCTGTCCATCTCTCTTCGAGCCTATAGAGACAAGCTACAACTTTGGAATGTCTTAAGCATACTGTGGACACATAACAGAAATACACAACTGCAATGCCTTGCCGATTGAACTGAACTGAAACAGAACAGGAAGACTGAGCAAAGGACAGAGATGAGGGTCTCCTCAGGAAAATCCCAGGCAGTACTCACGGGAGTACTGTGTTACGGCTACATGTGTTATGGATTAAAGAACTAAAAATCTAAAACATGTTGCACAGTTATTTTATCTTTTTAGACACCAGCTGGGAAGAGGAAAATCAAGACAATAGAATTCATTGTACAAGCAAATGTCCTACTCTTTGCAGCCTCTTGTGTGGCTGCAGTTGAAATGGAGAGGGTCCTCAGAGAACATCTAGGCAGCCCTTCTCCTCAGTGACAGTCCCGAGGCCAACAAGTTGAAATTTCTACCACATTGGGTTATGGAAATTTCCAGCTTCCTGAAGTCATCTGGCCACTCTCTGAAGCTTACTATGGTGGAACGTGATCAATGCTACTTTTTAAGTCAAAACAAGCATTCTTCCCCAAATATACTGACCACATCCCTTGGTGTTGGCGTATATGAATATTAAAAACACATCATGGACATACAAGGAGAAAGTATTCACCACACACACACACACACACACACACACACACACACACACACACACACACACGACAAAGGACTCCAAGTGTTGGCGTATATGAATATTAAAAACACATCATGGACATACAAGGAGAAAGTATTCACCACACACACACACACACACACACACACACACACACACACACACACACACACACACACACACACACACACACGACAAAGGACTCCAAGAAGAGTATGTGTGGGAAATGAGAAGTCCTAAGTCCAATCCTCAGTTCAGCAAAAAAGAACACATGGTACTCTTAACACATCAACAATATCTTATAAAAACTCCTTAGAAAAAAATAATCAAGTAGTTCATAAAAATAATGGGATAGTCAATATCACATGAAAAGGCAGTTGGAAGCCATCAGAAACACATAAACTAAAAAAACATAAACTACAACTATAGTTGTAGTACCTGCTCAACAGAATGACGGAAGTTTTAAAGGACTCACAATTGTTGATGATATAAAACTGTACTTCTCATAATTTGCTGGTAAGAATACAGACTTGCACAACTACTTTGGGAAATAACCATTTGACAGGTTCTTAGTTAATGTGTCTACCCTCTAACGCAGAAATTCCACTACTCAAGTGAAATGACAACACAAAAAGACTTGCATAAGAGTACCCAGAGCAGTTCACACATAAAAGCCAAACACTGTACATGACTCAAATGTCCATCGGTTCTTAACTTTATACAACCTATCAGATGTATTCAATGAGTGACTCTTTTTGTTTTAGCCTTCTGTGTTAGGCTTGAGCTTGTAATTCTATCCCTCTGAATGCTGAAGCAGAAAGATTGCAAAGCCAGCCTGGGCTACAAAGAGACTCTTTGTAAAACAAAAGCGAAGAGCCAGGCACCAGTAGTTCAAATCTGTAATCCTAGCTACTCAGGAGGCTGGGATCCAGAGAACTGCATTTCAAGACAGCCTGGACAGAAAAATCCATGAGCCTTTTCTAAAGTCCTTCTCCAAAATAACTTAGCAAAAGTCCAAGCTACGGGGCTGGGAAGGTGGCTCAGGGTAGAGCGCTTGCCTTGCATGCCTGAGGCCCTGGGTTCGATTTCTCAGCACCACATAAGCAAAAAGAAAAAAGCCAGAAGTGGCACTGTGGCTCAAGTGGTAGAGCGCTAGCTTTGAGCTGAAGAGCTGAGGGACAGCGCCCAGGCCCAGAGTTCAGGCCCCACAACCGGACCCCCCCCCCCAAAAAAAAGTCCAAACTACAAGTATGGCTCAAGTAGTAAAAAGCAACAGCTGAGCAAGCAAGTTGAGTAAGCTCAAGTTCCTGAATTCAAACCCTGGCATTAAAAAAAGAGAAAGCAAAGGAAGGGATGGCATTGTCCAAAAAAAGGGAAATGTTCTCATCACCTGACTTACGAAATGGTAACCCCTACTAAACAACACCTTAATAATAACAATAAGATGAGAAACACAACATTGTTTTGCTAAGGAAACCCATACTTGTTCTGTATGATTCCACTCATATTATGTTTGAAAACAAATCTACTTTACAGTAAAATGGCAGAATAGTGATGACCTCTGGCTGGAAGGGACGAGACTAAAGACAGGAAAGGGTCACTAGAGAATTTTCTGGGGCTCTGAGACACAATTCAACCTTATGGATTGTATAAATTACAGGCAAGGCATGGAGTCTCATGCCTAATAATCACAGCTATGGAGAGGGCAGAGGTGAGGGGAATCATGCTGAGGCAATAAGTTGGCAAGACCCTGTCTTAAGCCAATAAGCCAGGTGTGTTGGCTCATGGCTGTCACTCCAGCTTTGCCTGAGACTGCAGAGGACTGAAGTCCTTGGTTGGCGCTGGGCAAAAATTGCAAAATGTAATGCCTAAAAAGCAAAAGGTAAGAAAAAAATTTCCAGGCGGTCTGACGTATGCACATACCAGGAGGCCGAGATCGGAAGATCGCGGTTCCAAACCAGCACAGGCAAAAACAAAACAAAAAGTCCATGACACTCATCTCTTAAACGACTCAGAAAAAGCAGGAAGTGGCACTGTGGCTCAAGTTGAGGGCAGACCCCTAGCCTTGAGCCCAAAGAGGCTCAGGGACAGCGCGCCCAGGCCTTGAGTTCAAGTCCCAGGACTGGCAAAAATAAGTAAGTACAAATAAAAAAGAAAGTAAGCCATGGTGTTAAGGAGCATTAACTCTGCCTCTTCACTCTGCTTGCAAAAAGAGAAAAAAAGGCAGTGGGGGAGAGAGAAGCAAACTACTAGTTAAATCAAACAAGGCACTGGGCTGAAACTTCTCTGCTAAAGTTGCAGAGCCCAGATCGCAGTCGTTCCGTTTCACTCCTTCAGCTAAGACACACCAAACCCAAGTTAGGGTGGAAACACGGGGAGTGGAATTTTCTTTTCCCCCGGCGGATGACCGAACCTATCCGTCTCCATCGCTTTGCAGCTCGGACTCTCGGATGGACCCGGGGAGACTCGAGGACTTCTTTCGGCATGACAGAAGTCGGCCGCCTCGCTTTAAATGCTACCTGCCTGGGAAAGGCCGGTTCTTCTACCAATCAAGAATAACCTGCCACCTCGCCTTCCCGCACCAACGAAACGCGCGAGTCTCTTTAACCCAAACCCACTCGTCCAAACACCGGGGACCAAGGGTATCCCCACCGGCCCGGCCCCGCGCCTGCGCAGCGGCTCCGCCCCGCCCCCGCGCGCCCCCCCCCCCCCGCGCATGCGCCCTTCGCCCCGGCGGCCCCGCGCACTCTTGCAAGCTAGGAGGGCGGAAGTGTACCTGTGCAAAGCCGGAGGCGGATAACTTCTTCTTCTTGCTGGCGCCGTAGCCTCCTGCGCTGCTGCCGTTGTGGGAAGGGCTCCCTGGTCTCTTTTTGCTGTTCCGGGCTACCGCCAGGGTGGAAGTAGCGGCCACGATTGGAATTTGAGCCGCCATCCTACCCTGAATCTCCCTCCCCTCCCCCTCCCCGTCCGTGACGGGGCCCGGGAGCTTCCGGCTCGCGGTGACTTCCGTCTCGGGGCTTGAAAACCCGGCCTGGAGTCACGACACTGGAGGAGCTCTCGCGCTTTCTCCCTCTCGACTGCCTCTGCCAGGCGGAGCTCGGAGCCGGGCGGTGCGCCTGGGCCGGAAGGTGTCGACGGGGCGGCGCCCTGCGTCTTCGCTGGGTCTGAGCCTGGGCCTCGGGGCGAGCGCCCGGAAGCCCCCCAGTGAACATCCCCCGGTACATTTACAAAATGGTAATAGTCGCGAGACGGCAAAAGCTTGGTCATTTTCGACGTCTGAGAGTCTAAAGGTAATTCCCTTACTAGTGACTAGACGCATCACCAGGCTGTATCTTCGTGGTTGCTGCCAAGAGGCCATAAGGGCAGGATGTCTGTCAGCCTCATGGGACCAGAGACCCCTGGAGCACTTCCACGCCTCCCTTCGCCTCACTAGATGGATGCAGACCAGTCAAAAGTTCACACGAAGATTTCAAAGAGGTCACAGATCTGCTAAAGAGCTATTTATGACACTCCCCGTTCTTCACCACATGCAACTCTAAAATCTTTATGACATAGACTCAATAGCTTATAATTGAGTAATTGATGCCTTTTTGTCCTTCATAGAATGTAATCTCTGAGGGAAGGCCGGTTATGTCTTGCTCATTCAACTGTGTCCCTACTCATAATACTTTGCAAGTCCCTGACACATTATAAATATGTTTTAGTGAAGCAAATAATGAGTGGACTTCCTGTAGTGACTCAAATGATATGACTCTGGATATTTAAAGAAATAGGCTCTAGAAAGTTAGGGAAAACAGCAATATTGTTACTGACATCTTGTCTGCTTTGGAGAAAGAAAATAACCTACCAGTATTAAAATGTTCCAGATCTCTAACTCTCACTCAAAACTACTTCTTTGCTTATTCTTTATCTGGTCACCCAAGCCAATCTCTGGTACCCTACTTCTTTATTTCCAGTCACTTCCTCAGTTCACATCTTGTCTTCACTGCTCCTATCCTTCTTTCTTCTACAGCCTCCAGATGGAAGTTTAGGCTTTCATTTCCTAATCCATCCCTTATTCCAAGCCATGTCTGCCACTGGCTGCCAGAATAAGCTTTCTAAAACACAGATCCAACTGTCCCAATTACTTTCTTATATTCTCTCAAAGCCCTTTTATCTTTGGGATAAAAGCCAAATCACTTTTTAGATTGTCCTATCAGCTCCATAATAACCAGGCCATGTTCTCTTTTATCATTCCCAGCACTCTAGTCATTCCTTTGTGCCCCAGCCAGAAACTAACTCTTACTTGCTTATTTTCTTAACTCCTTTATAATTTTGTCTCCATTGTTTTCTCTCCTAGGAATGTGTGGCTTCTTACCTGATTACCATTCATTTTGCCTCAGTTCAAATTCTACTTTCAATGAGAAGCTTCCTGCTGTCTGATGTGTCTTTAAAAGTACTGAGCATATAGGCTGTTTGTAATATTTAATGAAGTCAAATATCAGCTTCCTACTTTTAGGGAATCAGATACATCTGTACACCATGATTTGGCTTCCCATTACTAAATTCAGTCTTGATCTTGTCTGACTCCTTTCTTTTGAATCTTCTTTTGATATCAGAAACACCATTTTTTTGTTTTCCTCCTTCAAAATTCTACCTCTAGTCATCTATTTGACAGTCATCTTCTTTTACCAAATGGTTTCCAATGCTACTACTACATATTTGTTTAAATATTTATTGTATAGTCATACTGTTCTAAAGATACATACTTAAAAATTTCCAAGTCCACATTTGGAATCAGTTTATTTCCACGCAGTCATATGTACCAAAGTTGCTTGATGTCTGAGGCCCTCTAATCTTCCCACTCTATACTGTCCTCAAGCATTCCAGCAATTCTTAAGGATTGAGTTACCATCTAAAGGGAGACTACTCTTGGCTTTTCCGTTCTTAGCTGGTTCATTCTCTGAAACTACAAACACAAACTTAAATTCCCCATCCAGAAAGATATAGATTTATAAGTTCACAGGCATCTTACACTCACCATAGAAAGGAAAAATTCTTCATCCATTCTGTTCCTTCTTCAGCGTTTCCTCCCTCAGTAAATGTCACAAATTATCCACCAGTTGTTCTCACTAAAATCCCGACTCACCTCCCTTCATCCACCTCAATGCCATACCATTATTTCAGTCACCGCCATCTCTCCTTTGAATTTGTGCATTGGTGTTAGGAGTTGTCTCCTTGCTTCCACCTTTCGTCTCTACAACCCAGTTTTATGAAATTCCAGATGATCTCTTTGAAGATAACCCTATGAATTTTTCAGATCACACCCTCCACCTGAAACCCTTTTGAGTCATCTTGTAGTTAAAGATGAAGTCCAATGTCTATAACATGGCTTCCCAGGTCTTCAGAGACTTGCTGTATCTCCAGCCCTGCTCTGTCTCAGGTCTCTGTGCTCCTGCAGTTGTTCACCTTTTGTCAGCTCTGCTTCCTCCTCCCTCGGTATCTAGACATGCATGCTTTTCTCCCAATACTATACTCCTGCAGTCTCATTAACTTCCACTCATTCTTTCTATCTTGACTGGCATGCTATTTCTTGAGCCTTCCCTATTGCTCTGATCCAGTTCTGTGTAATCATCAGTCTCAATCACCTGTTGCTTGCATTTTATTTACTAATTCTTGAAGGTAGAGATAAGACACAAAAGGATGATCCTCACTACCTGTTCTTAGCATGTCCCATCTAGTAGGAAAGGAGAGACATTCTATTTGTCTTCTTAGCTGGACATGAACTTCCTATGGGCAATAACTAGAATCACAGAGATTGAGCCACAGAGTATCAATAGATCCAAACAAGAGGAGTGAGGAGTATTCTGGAGGATACCAGACAGGGGGAAAGGCTTTGAGTCCTGGAAGGACTCCACACAGCTCATTGCAAGTGTAACTTGAATGTTTTCCATGTGCACTGGTATAGACAAGTTAACACTGATGGACTCTATTTGGCTAGCTTGCATGTTGAGACAGAGCCCAAGCCTCCCCAAATTCCCTCCCTAGTTATTCCTGAGAACTTGCAAGGTGTGTCTCTCCTCTGTTACTGTGTGAGCCCTTTCATAACCTCTTCAGCCACTTTTCTGGTCCTTGCAGCTCCTGTGCCTCTCACCAATGCCATATTTCCTTTGGGATGCTGAGGGTATGACTGAGTGCACCAGTTAAGCAGCCTTACTCAGAGTCTTGATCCCAGTTAAGACTTAGGAATTATGAATGGATAACACACTTGTTAAGCTACCCCATATCATTTGAGATATAGAGTGCTTAGTTTATTGTTCCTCAGAAATCTCAGGAAACATAGTGGATATTTGGGATCATGTTGCTGCTGGATAGAAGGCTGTGCAGCTTTTCCTAATAATATAAACTATGCAACCCACAGCTCATTATATAAAAGTTGCTCTTATACTCAATGAGATTCCTTGTTGATGGAAAGAGACCTTAAAGGTAGAGTCAAGATACTCAGCCGGGCACCAGTGGCTCATGCCTGTAATCCTAGCTACTCAGGAGGCTGAGATCTGAGGATTATGGTTCAAAGCCAGCCCGGGCAGGAAGGTCCCTGAGACTTATCTCCAATAAACCACTAGAAAACTGGAAGTGGTGCTGTGGCTCAAGCAGTAGAGCGCTCGCCTTGAGCTGAAAAGCTAAGGGACAGCACCCAGGCCCAGAGTTCAAGCCCCATGACAAAAAAAAAAAAAAAAAAATCAAATTCACCAACTCAAAGCCACTGAAAAAGACAGTATGTTGTGCATTGTATCGTCTGAGCTTTAAGGATGTGGAGCTAAAAACCAAACCCACAATAGTGAGAAACTGATGGCATTTCTTGGAGGAGGTTAATCACAGTCTTCTCAGGATTGTGAGAGCAGCACTCATTCTTGAAACATGTCTCTGAGGAGTCTTCCTATATTAGCCTGTGTTTTCTCTGCCACAGACCCAAGTGTGTATGTGGTAGAGACCCATGGATCATAGATCCATTTGGGCACTTTCTTTACAGTTTTCAAAGCACTGCAGGCCCTTGGTGGCAATCCACTTAATGCCTCGTTATTTAAAGAGTTATTAATATCGGGAAAGAGTCAGTGTGGGCTAGGGATGGGCCTTTATTCACTTAGTTGTTGGCTTATTTCTCATCTGATAGATACATAGAAATAAAGCAGGTGAGAGTGGTTGAAAATAGGCATGTGCCTAACATTTTCAAGGCAGCCTAAGCACCATTGTCTTGATCTATAAATGAACAAATCAAGCTAATAAACTATAAAATACATGCCACTCTACTTTGGCAAACATTTTCCCAATTCCAAAGGTCAGAGCTGAATTTAGAATGCTCAGATTCCTTGGAGTTCTCACCAAATATGGTGAGAGTAATTCTTTCCCTTAGCCTCCTTTTCACCTCTTTCTCATGAGGCCATCAAGAGGGGACATGAGGGGAATTGAGGGAACATGTACCCATATGGAAATCTACCCTATATATCCAAGCCTCATCCATCCATCCTCTCCTGCAGCCCCATAAACAGCCTCTTGTGGACCACTCTTCAGGACTATGGGCAGACACACTGAACACAGAGACAATGTACTTCGAGGTGCTGAAGGTGACACAGAGCCATTTGAGCAGGAGATGTTGAGGTCCATAAAACATGTCCTCAAATTGTTAGGTGTAGACTTGGGAGGCCACCATTCCTTGTCTCCAGGGTTCATACTTAGTGCAAAGGACAAAGACAGAAGGGGATCCTCTTGCCCAGGCCAAGGAACAGCCTGTAGACTGTGCTTTAGCCTTGAAGAGGTGCCAGGTGACCTCGAGTGAGGGACAATAAGTGCTGATATTCCTTACAGCTGGGCTGGGAAAAAGAAAGGCAGACCCAAGAAGTGGTTCATTTTCAGTTGGGATGGCAGAAAGCTGATGTGATCTCCAGCTCTTAGACTAGACTTTTTTTTTTTCTCCAGGGCCTAGAAGGGGAGGACACAGCGTCATCTGCTAAGTGGAAGGAAGGTGTCATTGGCAAGACTCAT